CATGGGATAAAACCGGACTCTCTGAATATGGCGGACAATGAGGGCTGCTGAGAAGCCAAGGACAATGCCACTGGGTTTTGATCCTACTTCATGTTCTGGCTTTGTGGGAGCCTAGCCAGTTTGGATGTCCACCTTCCTAGACCAGGATGGAGCGGGGAGGACTTTGGACTTTCCACAGGGCAGGGAACCCTGACTGCCCCTCAGACTGGAGAGGGAGGGGGAGAGGAGTGGGGGGAGGGGGAGAGGAGGGGGGGGAGGAGGGGGTAAAAGGGAGACGGGGAGGGAAATGGGAGGCGGGGAGGAGGCGGAAAAAATTTTTTTCAATAAAAAATTATATTTAAAAAAATCCTCATATAGAGACCATTTATTGAAGACAGAGCGCTTTTTATTATCCCCTGCACCTAAAAATATCAAAATGTCCTAAAGCACTAAATGAAAAAGGAAAAATAATTCTAATTTAGATGGTTAAGCTACCTTCATTCTGGACAGTTCACGCACCAAAAAGCACCATAAAAATGTCATTTATCAAGTCAGTAATGGTGGCACATGCTTGTGCTTCCAGCACTCGAGAGATAGAAGCAGGAGGATCAAGAGCTAAAAAAAGTTCAATTTTGGCAATATAGTGAGTTTGAGATCAACCTAGACCACATGAGACCCTGTCTCCAAAGGCTAGGCAGCCAACCAACCAACCAAACAAGTCCAGGCCACTTTTCAAATCTCCACATCAGGAAAAAGAAAACGTACCAAATTTACTAAAAATTTCAATGTTGTAGTACCTGGGTTGCATATTTTAACTATTTTATTTTTTAACAGTTCATCAGTAATAGTAAGAATAGGCTTCTGCTTGTATTTATCAGTGAGTGATATTTCATAATCTTCCATCATGGAAGCTTCACGTTTTCCATAACTAAAATTTAAAAGCAAAGATGTATAGAATGTCTGTCTGTGTTTGATGTTGTACAAAAATCTCGATGTGAGTAAAAAGTGGAGCTTCTAAGGTATCTAACATATCAAAGTGGATACTGGCTGCCAGGTTCTCCTTACATCCCTCAGTCCCTACCTGTTACTGGGTCCTCCTGGCTGGCACACCCCACCCTCTAACCTGAACTCTCCAGCTCAGGGACTGGGCTGCCCTTCCGTATATACTACAACCATTCTTGGTTACTTACTTTTTCTGTGTCTTTGGGTCTCCTAGCTGTTGCACTTGGTTCCTCTCTCTCCCCCATCTCCCATTCCTTCCTCCTCTTCCCACAAGGCCCAGCTCAGCCTAGTCAGAACCACTCAGGACTCTCTGTGATGTCCCTGCCTCTGGCTATACTCTCCCATATATCTAGGATAAACTTTTTCCTCCACTATAAAAAAAAAAACCTCAGGACCGCGAGGGGTGCACCCATACACTGAGACAATGGGGATGTTCTATCAGGAACTCACCAAGGCCAGCTGGCCTGGGTCTGAAAAAGCCTGGGTTAAAACCGGTCTCGCTGAACATAGAGGACAATGAGGACTACTGAGACCCCAAGAACAATGGCAATGGGTTTTTGATCCTACTGTACCTATTGGTTTCGTGGGAGCCTAGGCAGTTTCGTGGATGCTCACCTTACTAGACCTGGATGGAGGTGGGTGGTCCTTGGACTTCCCACAGGGCAGAGAACCCTGATTGCTCTTTGGGCTGACGAGGGAGGGGGACTTGATTGGGGGAGGGGGAGGGAAAGGGGAGGCAGCGGTGAGGAAGAGACAGAAATCTTTAATAAATAAATAAATTTTAAAAAATGAGTTTCTTAGATCCTAGAGATTCTGACTTAGCAAGTCGGAAATCTGCCTAGGAATCTGCATTTTCTCATTCTAGGTCATTCTGGTGTGGGTGGGGCTAGAGACCATTTCTGGAGAAGTGGCTCTAGAGTCTGATGAGCTATGTAACCGTGTGATCAAACTACTGTCTAGTTCCTCTCCAGTCACACCGCTGTCACCAAGTCTTCTTCAACTGAGATCAAAGGAATGACTTGATGGCTTGATAGCTTCAAATACATTCAAAATTATCCTCGGTTGTGACAGTTGTTGTTCAAATCCTTTTATCTGTTCGTGAAAACCTGCCTTCAGTTAATGACTGTGTAAGGCCGTGTTTCCTTTGACAAGAAAATTCTTTTTAGATAGTGTGGGGCTACCTATTCATCCAGCTTTGAAATCCAAAGTAAACTGCAGGAACATGCCTGCCATCTTGGGACTTTGGAGGAAGACACACACAGGAGGCTCCTTGGGACCCACTAGGCTGCCAGGCTAGCCAGCTGGTGAGTTCCAGGGATACCCTGTCTCAAAAAACTCAAGTGGAGAAATGATTAAAGAAGACAAATGATGGTAACCTCTGATCTCTCTGTATATGCTCACATACACGTGCACCCCCTACACACTAACATGCACACAAATCGGTATGCACACAGATAATTCAAAGGCTCCAAGCCTACCATCATTATAGATCAGAATAGTGATGAAATCATTTGGGATGAATAGTCAGGCACATTATGTATACATTACTAAGAGTTGCTGGAGTGACAAAGGGAAGGGTTGGATGTAGATAAATATCGAGCTGTTTGGACAATCATTGTATACTATAGTCTGTTTTGATGAACACCACTACCCATTGCTGCTGCTTGTCTTGCAAAATAAGTTTAGATGTGTGTGTACAGGCAAGATTTGAGACACCTTCTAGTGAATTATCGACTGCCTTTGAGTAGTTTGTTTCTTTCATCACCAGCACTTTGAAGCTCAAAGAAGAAAGGAGGGTGCTGTGCCAGAGAATGCTTTTGCTTCCAGGGCATGAGCACTGGACCATCTCTACAAAGGAGGCTGGACCATCTCTACAAAGGAGGCTGGACCAACTCTCATAAATGAGGTACAGGGAAGAACTACTATGGGATCTCTTTCCTTCCTTCTTTCTTCCCCCTCCTCTCTTCTTTGTTAGGGTCTCACAGAAAAGAAGGGAAGTGTGGCATAATGTATTGCATGCTAATAATTGTTCCTTGAGTTCTTACAGCCATGCCATTAGTGGATAAATTATGCTTCTCTGTCATACTGGCTTTGAGGTTAGCCACATAAATTCAGAGCCGAGATTCTACAATGAAAATGTCTGTCAAACCCTTCTATATTCTTGTCATCTAATATGAGAAGAACATGCCTTGGTAGCTGCTGATTCTAACATGAGACAGAAGTTCCTCATGCCTCGATATGATGTGAACAAAATCTATGGCAGAGAAGTCATAGACAATTCATCAACTTACAAGTAATAAAATTAATACTTGGGAAAGCCACTAAGATTTAGGGGATTTCTTGTTATGCAGCAGCTTCATAACATTAGCTGACTAATACATGAGGGTAGCTGCTCCTTACTTAGGGCTCACTTCTTGCCAATACCATTTATACTAGCTCCTTTGTGCTACAATATTTCCTTCTATAAAGGATCTTAATATTGTCATTTTTTTCATGAAGCATCATCTCTGAGAGGGTAAAAACCAGAGCTAGTAAGTGGCTGGGCCAAAAATTCAAATTTATAGATGCTCGTGTTCACATATGGCAATAATTCCATGGCTTTTGCCTAACTTCCTACCCTTTACATTCAAGATTACAGCAGCAGCGACCATATAAAAACAACCTCACTATTTTCTAGAGGCATTTACAGTCCAGCTACTCATTGGGGCACTTAGTCCTATTTAGTTCTACTCTAGATTGAGTCATAGCCTGCCCGTGAGATTTGTGATGGTAAAGTCCTCATTTTGGAAAGTATTGTACTTTAGAAACCACAGAAAACCTTAAAATAGTCTGTAATGGTTTGTGGTTATAGGTAGAAGAGAAAAGGTACCAGATAAACAGGAGTTGAGTCGGCGCTGTAAGGCTCTTCGCTGAGATGACTGACAGGGGGGTTGACCAGAGACTGAATAAGGAACTAAACTTCTCCGTCTGTGAAGAAGATTTTGAGAATGGAGGTCAGATGACAGCACAAGGCACCAGAGAGGTCCAGAGCCCAGCGTCTGAGAGGGATGAGGATGAGGAGATGGAGGATCCCAAGTCTCCCCCCAGAGATGAACGTTATCCTTCTCAGAACAGAGACATAGAAAGTCCAGGTCCCAGTGTGTGGGTACCCCCCTCGCGGTCCTGAGTTCCTTGCTCGTGCTCTCTCTCCTTGTGCTCCTGATTTGGACCTTGAGATTTCAGTCCGGTGCTCAAGTGTATGGGTTTTTGATACTACTGCATCTACTGGCTTTGTGGGAGCCTAGCCAGTTTGGATGCTCACCTTACTAGACCTGGATGGAGGGGGGAGGACTTTGGACTTTCCACAGGGCAGGGAACCCTGACTGTTCTTCAGACTGGAGAGGGAGG